AATTGTAATATCCTCTCAGTATCGAGCACATTTAAGTAAAACAAAATATGATACTTCGGCGACGTCGTGCCGGCGAGTTCGAAAATAAAGCGACGAATTATATCGTATATATCGGTTCTGGTCGCTCGTTACGGTCCGCAATCAGCTGCCACCGCGAGTGATTAAAACTGCGAGGACTGTCAAAGTAATTCTCGACGTGCGTGACACGCCGATTTGCCAGCGCGAACATGTTAAATTTGTTCGTGCCGAAAGCTCGTTCGTATCCTCCGACAACCGTAACAGGCGGTATCGATGACTCGGGAGCGCGGTGGTATCGGCGAGGGGGCGACAAGGTGGGCAGAGGCAAGAGTATGAAGCTGTTGGAACACGAGGGAAGAGAGAGAGAGAGAGAGAGAGAGAGAGAGAGAGAGAGAGAGAGAGGGCGAACGGAGGAAATGAGCGCGCACACTTACGCTTACGCGGTACATGAGAGCGTGTAGCGAATGCGTGTAGAGGAGGCGACCGCATCGGTAAACCGATTAAACGACTTACATAAGTTCCAGTTGGCAGAGCCTCGAAGACACGTAGGATTCGATGAAAAGAGGGTCTCTGGCGGGTTCGTGAAGAGGAGCTCGGACACACACAGAGAGAGAGAGAGAGATGGGGGAATGAGCGAGAGACTCGGACGTTCAGAGTGGAATCGATGATACGGACGAGCTGGAACGGAAGAAAAGGAACGTGAGTGCATTGCGCCCCGGCGTTCGCCACGGATGCATTTCCTGTGTGTGTGCACCGTGCACAAAACGACGATAGCCTCGTTTCGAGTTCCTTCGCTAATTATGTTTCAAATTTACCGATCTACCCGAAGCGAAGGAGGAAGCGGAACAGTTATACCTACCATTAAAAAGTTAACGAGTCGTGGTGGTGTATCCCCGGGGAATTTTAAGTATTCCAGTATTCGGCGGTCGTACATCGCTTGCCTTCCGGTGTATTTGATCGTCCGCCTCCTCGCCGTGAATCAGCAACGAGATTGCCGATCGTTAAAAGCCTATCCTTCCAGAATTTCTTCTCCGAATTTCGTCTCTCTTTCGTGTTCCATCTCGAAAATGCAAGATGATTCTACGTGGGGAAAAAAAACCCCCTCGATACTATAAGATGACTATAGCCGTTCGTAAAGAATTCGCATGAATTCAACAACTTATCGTTAGACTGATCAGAGCGTAGCTGTTATCTTCTTGGTTACGAGATTCCAGACGTTTTGTATGTTTTCAATAGTTGCACGATTTAGGTATAGCTGCCCTAAAGTAACGCTGAGTTGGCACAGTATTATACTCCGATGATAGACGCGAAAGTCACTACTTGTTGTAAAATTTTCGATGTAGATTCGTGTCTATCCGTGTTTCGAGATATTTCGCACAAAATTATATTGTCAAACGATTTTTATAAAAATGTGTCTCTCCCCATCAATTCGTTATGTTGCTTCCTATCTGGTGAAGCTTATTCGCGATGAAACTGTTCCTCTTCAACGGAGGCACAGTGGCCAAAGGTAACGTCGTATCGAAAGGGTTAAGCACGAAGCAAGCTGTGCTTGAAAGTTCGAGCTTGTATGTACGTCGTAGAAAAACTCTTCTGCACATTCTTGCGTCGTATAGATGGAAGATCGCGTTCTCCTCTTGTGCGAATGAGGTGAACGTCAAAGACGCACGGAAGAACAGCCATGGATCCAACAGGATGGATGAACTCCGTTTGAGCTTCTTCTCTGGAACCTTCGTAAACCCCATGGTGCTCCCAAACGGCGAAAACAAAAACAGAAAGAAGGTTATACGCTGATAAAATCGCGTATCATTGGATCGATACGTGCTTTTCTTGTGAAACTTGTGGTCTTTATTTTCATCGCGATGATTATCGCTCGATTATCTTATACAAAGTGAGTACATATACAAAACACGTGAGGTTCTCGTATATCATTCCCCTTTTTCTCTCTCTCTCTCTAAACGCAACGTCGTTCTACCTTCGTTCTGCTTCTCTGTCTCATGCACACGCGCTATATCTCTCTTTCTCTCTGTCTTTCAGTCGCTCATTCATTCGCTGTCTCTCTCTCTTTCTCTCTCTCTCTCTTCGACTCGCTGTATCTATACACCTACTCCTCTTTCTGTCTCTCTTCCTTCTCCTCCGCGTGCGCGCGCGACGAAACCGGAAACACGTCGGGGAACCGTATGCGAGACACGCTTCTGCTTCCACGAATCGATCGTGTGAGCACCGACGAGTTCGCCACTCGTGACAAAATTCGTCGCCGTAATTATCATCGCCGTAATTGTCTCGCCTCCCTCTGTACTAATCCCCAACCCCTACGGACCCCACGTAACGCGTTTTCAATCCACGCCGATAGAAAAATCGTTTCCGAGACTTTATATTGCCACCATACTCAGTATTGCACAAGAACGCGTTTCACGTCGACGCCAACTCTCGCAGCTAAACCACGGATCTTTGCGCGAAATGTACACTTTTGTTAACGCGTTAACCTCTTGCGCTAGTAACTGGTTGACGGACCGTAACGAGCGACCATACAGTGACGCGTCCTCTTTTCGAATTCGTCGGTCATATCACTGGATAGAAATTACTGAGAAGCAATGAATTGATTATTTGTTTCACCTGTGTTATACATTTCAATGTATTAGACATAATAGTTCACGTTATATATCAATTAATGAAACACAGTAACTGAGAAAATTGAGTTGCAATTTGAGGCAAAATTCGTCATTCCAGCGCAATAGGTTAAAATACAGTGACTCTTGTTGATATTCGGGCATCGTGCTATCTAAAATATTGTTGCGGACTTCGATTGTTTATAATAGTAAGTTTGGATTAATTTTTCAACAATTAGTGTTGGAACATTCGTTATAATTTATAGTGGCACACGTTTTATTTATTTATTGCACACACTTTCCTTAATATCAAACAATAAACTGAATTGTATCGAAATGTAGCGTGGCAAAATTATTCGACGTAATTCAGTTTATTGTTTGATATTAAGAAAAGTATGTGCAATAAATAAATAAAATCCATGCCACTATAAACTATAATGAATGTTCTAATATATTATTAAAAAATTAATCTTACTATTATAAACTTTCTATTATAAACTTACTATTATAAACAATCGAAGTACGCAACAATATTTTGAATAGCATCATGTCCGAATATTAATAAGAGTCACTGTACATGTCAGATGAACCTATGTCCTACGCCTTAGTTTTCGAAAAACATATATAGAACACATGTTCATCCGACGTATTTCATATTTTATTTTAGTTCATCACCCCACGTAATAAATAAATTACACGCGTATCTATTGTTACATCCGTTTCGTGCATTCTCCAACACCTCTCACGAATGTATAAAAACATTCGCAGCTGAAGTTAAATTAGCCAGAAATTACGTATCCGAGACGTAAAGCCAAATGAAGAAATCGGAGACACAGGTCGACGTGATGAAATTTCTGATTAAAGTTAACTCTCTGAAAGAGAGACACGGAGGAAACCGGAGCGTGTGACGTAAGGCCGATCTCGCAAAAAGAAGAAAAAATGAACGAGAGAGGAATCGTTGCGGTCGAGTCGGCGATGGAAGAGGAGAAAGAGAGAAGACGGAAGTCCCTTTTTCGTTTCGAACAGCCACTGCCTTGTTCGCCTCGCGCGGCCGCATGCGAGGTAGTATCGGACGAAACTCGTTCACTCGTTCGACGATGGGAGGGGGGGAGGAGGAGGAGGAGGAGGAGGAGATCTAAGCGAGACCGGAAACTAGAAAACTGCTAAAGGACGCTTTCTTCGCTTCTCTTTCCTCAATATATTTTTCGCTTCTCTCCATTCGTTTCAGGATCATCGTCGGAGAGACGGGGGGTTAAGCGTGAGCACGGCTACACTCACTCATTCCCTTCCTCGAACGTTATCGACGTTAATTAAAATTGTTTACAAGGCATCTCTTTTTCCTGTTCTGCTCTACCAACGCCCAACGTTAAGGATAAATCAGTAATTCGATGTTACGTTCGGCGAAACGTAATTTTCTGTTCGGCTTCGTTATATTATTACCCTTTTTCTCAGTTGCTCGTTTTTTCAAGCCTAATTTCAAAAAAATATCTCCGCTATTACTTACTCTTACACGCGAATCTCCTCTCCAAAACTATTCGCTCTCCACTTATTCTTTCTCAGTTCGCCAATCGCCAATCGCGGCGTCGCGAAAGCCTCGCTTTATGGGCGGCGGTTCGATTCAGCGACGATCGAGAAATTACGTCCGGCTTTGCTAAGACACGATTTGCTAAGACACGGTTTGCCAACGACGTCCGACAACTGCACGCGCCCGAACGATTCGAAATTGTTCGGACGTGGTTTTCCTGTTGTTGTTGTTCGGCGTGTTTGTTGCGCGACAGCGTGAAGTCGGGTGATTTAAGTACTGCGAAGCTCCTGGATCTGGCTTGCGGCGTTTCGTCGCAGAAAGTTTTCGGACAGAATTCGCGCGGCCACGTTTCGAACATGACAGACGCATTGAACGTGGGACAGCGTCGAACGTGTCGCAAAATTTGTTGTCGCTATTATTATTAAAAATTAACAAAAATAATCCTCCAAAAATAATCACTACATGATTACTGTTTCAACTTTTTGATTTCTGTTGTTTGCGTCTGGTAGTATTGTACACGATTCACAAAAATATCGACCATTATTTTTTTTTCTTTCTTTCTTTTTTTCTTTTTTTCTTTTGTCGGTAGAACAAATTGATCTTCTGTTCGCGTCAGAAAGATTTTCGTTAAAAAGAAAAAA